CTGAACTTTGGGTTCTGTTGCTGTTTCAGCTAGGAGAAGCTATACAGACAGTTGCAACAAAAAATACAGATGCAGCTAAAATCAAGCAAAAGTAAGTTCAAGACCAGACAAGGACAGTTAAGTCTTGTGGCCTGGTATGACTAGTTATTTTTATAAAATTGAGGGCTTTATGCTACCCTTTAGCAAAACCTGTTTCCTGATTCACATTTCACATACTCACATATTCAGAAATTTACCATTGGAGTGGACAAATTTGTCCTCTGCTTACCTTAATAGCAGTATTTCAGATACTTTATTCTTTCTATGTAGTGAATATTAAGAGAGCAGCACGTAAAATGGTTACTTATTTTCTAGAGATATAAATCTACCAATTACCTATTAGAATTAGTTTTTAGTTGTTAGCAACATACAGTGTTTCATACCATTGCCATGATTGCACTGAGTGTAAATCAGCTTGGAGAAGCAGAATAACTCCTTCAATACAACCAGTAAAACTGATTTAATCACTTCAAAGTCTTCCATCCTATCCATACATGCTTGTGACTTTTTCCCTGGCTGCCACTCTCTTTCACTTTCCACTGGTCTTTAACAGTTGGAAGGGTGGAAAACGGGGCCGGAGCTTTTACAAGTCAGAAGAGAGTGGGACAACTTGAGTAGGATCTCTTCCAGTGATAGGACTTGTGGGAATGGTTGAAAGCTGTGCCAGGGGAGGGTCAGACTTGACATCAGGACGCATTTCTTCAGCAAGAAGAGTGGTCAGACGCTGGAACAGGCTTCCTAGAGGGGAAGCTGTTGATGCTCCAAGCCTGTCGGTGTTTACATTGTCTGTAATAATATGCTTTCACTTTTGGTTAGCCCTGATGTGGTCAGGCAGTTGGACTAGATGAGCACTGTAGGTCCCTTCCAACTGAAAGAGTCTATTGTATTCTGCAGTTTGTTCTGTGGGAATGGGAAAGGAGCCAAAAGCACGTGTCAGTTGTGGCTGGAAGGAAGATAAGTGCTGTAGCGAAGTGGCAGGCAGGCATGTTCCAGAGTGCCAACCCTTTGGCTGTATTCCTCTTTCAGGGATCTCTTCTCTCTATTTGTGCTATACTGTTGTGTCTTTCTGCTGCCTCATCTGCCTCCTGGCTTTTGCAGCAAGTTGCCTTGGGGCTGTGCCTTGTGGAGTCACGATAAGCATGTAATGAGGAACATGAAAACATACGTCTTGAAAAATTACTTCCCTTTGAGTAGTAGATGCTTTATTTGCTAATTGTGTCAGTGTTTCATGTTGTCGTTAAAAGATGGAAAACCTTAGTAGTGAATTTCCATAATTTGGGTTGAAGGGATTACATCTAAGACTAGCTTTAGAAGTGTTCCTCTGAGACTGTTGGAGTGCTGATGTTTGTTAATAATAACCATATGGCTGTCATCTATTGTCTTTAATTTACTGAAAAGTCCTAGGATTTTCCTGACTCCTGTCATTGTGTTTTGATGTCTTTTTGTCTTTGTTGTGGCATATGCCTGCATTTAATTCTTTCTTCTTCAAATAATTTTTCTCCTTGTTAGTAAATGACCCAGTAGTTAGTCTGCTCATTTTACTTTGACATTCACTTTAAGGTCCTATATTTTTTTTCCATGAGTGTTTCTTCAGAACTTTTGCTATCATTGAAAATATGCTGAAACAAGTGAAGGTGATTTTGGTTGTATATTGAAGCAGTAGGGGTGTAGATTTGCTGATAAACCCTGAAGAACAGATTTGAAATCAGTGAGATGACACATTTCTGTATTTCTGTGACTTACATAGTTCTATATATACCTGAGATGGTCAGATTCACAATTTTCCAAGGAATAATAAACATATTTCAGCATTAGGTTATATCAGTGTAAAGATGTTAAAATAAGCTCATGTATTTAACAATGCATATATTCACTATGAAAAATGCTATATTGATGTTTATAAGAAGTATTTATAACATTATGATATAAAGAATTCATCATCAGGTAATCAAGACAAATTAGTTGCTGAAGAGTACAAAAAAATAGCAATGAAGTTTATTTTAACCTTATCATAATAAAGTTAAGTAAATGCTTTTTTAGTAAAGTGTAGACCTGTTGTCATTGGGAAAGAGAAAACATACAGCATTTATATTATATTTGTTGTGCTTTTTTTGTATGACCATGATAATTGAAAAGCATTATATGTGACCAGAGGTGTAAAATGGAGAGATACTTCATTAATAACTGTTATTATTCTGCTGGTGATACCATGAGGTGCTTGATAGATTGATGTATACAGATGTAGTGGGCTTTAACCTGCTTACTCAACAGTTTGTGCTTATTCATTGATAGTGAATGCTTTGTACTGCTGTTATAATTGTTTAGTTTTTTGGGTTTTGTTGTTTTTTTTTTTCTGAAGAATCACATAATTGTATGAAAAACTGATTGTATACATACCCCTTTTGAAATAAATTTACTTACCCTTATGTGTCCGCTGAGATCCTAGACACTCTGAGAAACCATCTTCTAGGGGCTGGTAGACATCTTCTAAACATAGTCAGGGCCAGAAACTGCTGCTAAAATTCACTCTTTCAGCTTACTGTTACCCTCGTGTTGGCATGCAAAGGCTGAGATGGTACAATCCTTAGCCATGTCACTCTTTTTTGAGGTTTGGACTGTTCTGTTATTTATTTATACCTGTATTGTGATGTAATGTCTTAGTTGTCCTGGTTCTAGCACAAGCCTAATAATTACACTGCCTGAAATTGCAGTTTCTAATATCTATCAAATGGTCCATGACTCCCTGGAGATGAACTGGTATATTAAAATCTAGCTCTTTTTATCAAAATATCTCTGTATCAGCTTCTTCATGAATCCAAGTTATACATAGCATGGACAATGAATGTCTCATTTGGCAAATACTTTTCTGAATACTGTGATTTTTTTGAAGTAAAAGTATAGATTAAAATAGTGTATAGCAGAAGGCTGTAAAGGCAGTGATGAAACAACAGATCTATTATTGTGAGCCTCCTATGAAATAACGTATCTTGCCATTCTTCACTTTTATGCGGCGCAGTATCTTCACATTTTGTATTGGTTTGCATTCCAGCTACCTTGTCTGTTCTCAGTGACAGTGGTGTTAAGATAGCGTGAGTTAACTGTATGGTATCAATATAATTACAGACTGCACAGAAAACATATAACACTTGGAATATTTGGAATCATTCTGATTTTGCTACTGAATGTCAGCCTTCAATAAGGTTGTCATGCTTTTTGCTGAGAATAAGGTAGCAGTGAGAGTGAAAATACCTCTTATCTTTTTGCAGCATCTGGTATTCAGTGGAGTAGAAGATCAGGCATCATCATGCTTACCAGGATTTAAGTGATTTATGTGGAGCCGTTTAGGTAAAGTGAGCATGTTTTGAGAGTAGTGACAGAAAGTAATCAGAATCTAATGTGTGCGAACTAGAGACTGATGGTGAAACTTGGGATCCACAGAGAGCAACCAGAAAACTTTGCACAGTGAGAATCCAGTGTGCTGCTCAGCAGTTCTGCTCTTATGTGCTAGGAGTAATAGCAGCGAAACAAGAATACAATAATCTTCATAAGAATTGGACTGATGTTTTGAAGATTCAGAAGTACTGTATTCAAGACCACTTTTAAGGCAACTCCAGATTTTTTAACTTTTATTATATGTCATCTATTCATTCACCACAATTCCACGGAATAAAAAAAAAGGGCATAGTTACCTTAAAAAGAAAAATAACCAAAATACAGAAGATACTTCTGTGTAGGCTGACAGCCAGTTTTAGCCATGATTGTTTGGGCTTTCTTGAGAAGTGGCTGCTATTATGCCCTGGTAATTTTATGCCTCCTGCCATTGCAGAGTCTTCCACCACTCTGATTAAGGACTAACATCTGCCATGAGGTATTTTTCTTTCTTCTGCGTTACCCATGACTTAATCAATTTTGGACTATGACAAGTGCAATGTAGTACAGGATAATTCATAACATTTGCTATATTTGAAGTTATAATGTTTACGTTATTGGTTTTGTAATTTATTTATGCATCTCAACAAGCTAATAGCACGATTGGACTATTAAAATGTTTACTAATGCTTCCTTCAACTTGTTTCTTTGCAATTACAGTTCTAACACAATTACTACAAATAAATATGTCTCTAAACAAAAAAAAAAAAAGGTAATCATTACTCAATTTATGTTCCAGTTGAATCCTGAATTCAAAATTAATTTAACTGGAACAGATAGTATTCATATTTCCTGCTTCCACAAGGGTTTCCTTCTTCTGTAAGTAGAAAAGTTAATTGTAAATGCTAAAGGTGAAGGGTTTCAATATAAACTCAGCTCTTCTTTGTGTATAGAGATAAACAGTAGAAGAAAAATATAGTGTTACTATGTGTGGAAGATTTGTTATCTCAATTTTTTACTGTAATAAGAATATAAATGTAATAAGACTAGGCCTTTGCTTTCTTTAAACTATAGTACTGAAGAGTCTAGTTGGTGTGTCTTCGTTGCTCAGATGCCACTTTTTGGTTGGGATTTTGCATAACAGGAAAAAGAGATGATCAAAACCAGGGGATGGCTTATTTCATGTTCACTGAATAGAAGTCACACATTTTTCTTGTCTTATTCCCACTGGTGTACTAATGGTGTTTTTCTAGATCTCAGCATATTTGATGGAATCTGAATCTCAAAAGAGCCCTTTCATCCTGGAAATGAGAATGTGTTGGCACAGTGGTGTCAATCATGGGCAAGTTTCCTAGTGTTGTATCTAGTGCTGTACTTGTCTTTACAGAACTTCATGATCCAGCCCTGGCGTTATTTATAAGCATCAAGGACAAGGCTTCAAAACATGCCTGCTCATCTGACTCCTTAATTTCAGAATGAATTAAGTACTTAACCATCTTTAAAATATAGGGCTGAGTTAATTTTGCCTTAAACATGTCAGTTTTACATCATCTCTTGGTACTGATGTATTTTATATTTCTCTTTAATATAAGGTTTTCACAGCACTTTTTATACTGATCCCCGTGGCATACAGTCATTAGAGCTGCTATCAGACAAGTAAGAGATTCTGTTTGAGTTTCAAGATGCCTTCTGTTTAACCTGTTCTGCACAGCTTGTGATTTGTGTTAGCTTTAGTAGTAAGTCCATAGAAACATTTAGCTTTCTCAGGTGCTTCTTTAATAACAACATCATATATTGCTCTGAAACATTTATTTTCAAATTCATAGAATTTACCTCTATGAAATGTTTTCCATATGGTGTGATGAAGAGAAGTTTCATAGAGGATGATAGACAATACCCAAAATATAGTGTAGATCACAAAGGTCAGTCTGTATATTTTCATTTCTTTTTGCCAGACAGCCACTTAGGAAAAGCTACATTATTCCAAGATTTTTAGTTAACTACATGGATTGCACCATTTTTGTTTGCACATATTGGAATGTGTCTTCATATCACAGCAATAGCCTAGCCTTTAATTTGTGTGCTGCAGTTTTAATTGGTAGAGATGTTTTCTCTAGCAGCATGCATCTTCTGAAATAGAGCAGCGCACATCTTTTGATTAATGCAGACTAAGTCACTGGAGTGTTCACATTGGCAGCATCAATTTACAGGCATAAAAGCTAGAAAAGAATGCAGAAAGAATAGCAAACCTGTTATTATCATTCCATGTCACCTTATTTATATATTGATGTTCCAAAATCTGGACTTTTGCCTACTGATGTGCTATTTAAATAATATTTTCTGTTATCAAGTTGTAGATATTTTTTTGGTTTGATTACAGAATGATGATTTTTCCTACTCTGTTCTAAACTACTGGTAGATAGATGCATGACTTCAAATGTCATATGACTTTTTTTTCCCAAAAGCTGGAATTAATCAATTTTATGGAAAATTCTTTTCATATCTGTGTAATTGCAGCTATAGTAGTATTTTGAAAGTAGGACATTGCTGCTACCTGAGTTGCTAAGACAAGTCAACTTTTTTTTCTTGACCTTGCTTGACTTGGATGCCTTGGGCTTTCTGAAATACCCTAGCAAATACTAAAGTGGCATTAAACATATAGTCTATGCTTAAACTCTATTTATATAGAGTTTATTTATCCATTTAGTTTTTGTTTTTAAACCTTGATATATAAAGTCCCTAAGAAGAGTCTTTTAAGGAAATTATATCCTCATAGGGAAAATGCAAACATGACCTAATTGCAGAGTGAACCCTACCTATTATATTTAATCTCAAAAAACCTGAAATGAACATCAGATAACTGCACTGTGATTCTCAGGCCCTGATGCATGCAGACGTAAACTGTGTCTACTTAAGCATATTAAGTATTTCCAGGACTGTTACTTGGTACTGAAACTGGCATGAAAATCGGTGCATCCATGGTGGTCATGTCTCATGCTCTGTAAAACAGAGGGTGCATGCAGAAGTTTTATTGTGAATGGTCCCTGGCCTTGGATAGTGTGTGTTTCAGCCAGGACCCATATTTCTCTTGGAGAATCTAGTGAATTGTGTCTGCCCAGATCTGTTCTGGCCATTGGGTGGTATAGTTGGTCAACTTCCAGTTCACAGGGACAATCCCTGACACTCAGGGATCTGTGATTTGCAGAAAGCACTGGTTAGCAATAGTTTTGGCTCAAGAGATTGGCTCTTTGGTGCCCCTGATTCCTGTTAATTGATGCCCCTGGGTATATGCTCCCAGTCACGATTGTCCCGCATGTCCCTGCCCTTCCAGGAGGCTGAAAAAATAGCCAAGCTCTGGAGTCTGTGTCAGTTTTTACTTTGAGGCCTGAGAATTTCCAGCCTTAGGTTTTTGGCTTTTTGGCATATTTGAATCAAAAGATTCCTAAACCTAAGAATATTGAGTGAGGAGCAAGGTTTGCTAGCAAGTTAAATTTAGATCATGGAGACAAAATTTGACATGTGCATTAACATTTCAGGGATATATATATATGTATAAAATATTTATATATAAATATGTATTTAGATGGATAACATAAATTAATATTTAACATTAAGGTTTTAAAGTGTGCTTAATCAGTGAGATGCTCTACTTTTGCTCATTTCTCATTTAGCTCCCTGCTTATTCTCCACCTCAGCACAATCTTCAGATTTGTTCCCTTGATTTCTCATGTCCTGCCTCATAACTTGTTGTCTTCAAACAGAAGATTGATGAAACATGACATGAACTTTTACCCTTCCTCTCCTTTATATTTTTTGTTTGTTTGTTACCTTGCTTGATTCTGTCATCTCTTTTCTCCTTTTTCTGCTTTGTATTTCCTTGAGAGCCTCCTGGCCATCTCCTGACACCCTTCTCTCCAGATACCCAGATTGCTTGCCTTCCAGCTTCATCCTGGGTTTCTCTATTTTAGAAACACTTTATAATGGAAAACAAGGTGTATTTTATAGTGTCTGATGCCATATCTTGTACAATATTTTGCGAACAGTCACAATTTTGCTTCCTAGAATTAAAGAAAATCTTTTTCAGCCAAGAAGGAGCTATAATCCATTGGAGGCTTCTGAGAAACCAGAAGAAAATAAAAATGAAAATATAACCTTTTGTTTGTTTAATCTTTTGATTATTTAGATTTTTTTCCTTTTAAATTGCTTGCACTTTCTCATTTTGTAGATGCTTGAAAAGACCAATATTCTTTATTGGAACATCCCTCTAAACAAGTACTTTTGAAATGGACATTAATATTCTCAGTCATTCAGGTGGGCAGCCATGAAACTGGGCAAGAACTGACATTCTCCAGTGATTATCAACAATTCTACCTTTCTTACAAGAGCATGCAGTGATGGGACAAAGAGAAGTGGCATAAAACTGAAAGGCAGTAGATTTAGATTAGGTGTTAGGAAGAAATTCTTTACGTGAGGTACTGTGGAACAAGTTGCTGTGGCGGTGTTCAAGGCCAGGTTGGATGAAGCTCTGAGTAACCTGGTCTAGTGAAGGGTGTCCCTGCCCATGGCAGGGTTATTGGAACAAGATGATCTTTAAGGTCCCTTCCAACCTAAGCCATTCAGTGATTCTCTCCAGTACTAAGACAGCTCTGTATTTTCTAACTGAAACAAAAATCTATCTTATATTTTCATTACTCTGTAAAATTGAAATGAGGAACATGTCAGTGTTGTCAGCTGTTGCTGTTGGTGGCATCCATCCTAAAACAAAAGGGAAAGCTATAGGCTTTTTATCAGCATTCAAAAAACCCCAACAATGTGCATACCAAGTCCTGATGAAATATTTTTTTGTATGAAATGGTTACAATTTATTGAGAAAAGCACTTCCACAAAAATAAATTTCTTATTAGCTCATCATGGAGTTGCAGTTCTTGTGTTGGGCTGAACCTCAGCAGACCTGTTTTGCAATGGAACAGATTGTTTCACGACATGGTGTGCTCCTGGAAATTTTCTTCTTCTTTGAGAATGAGCCTGTGGCATTTTCTGAACTTCAGAGGCTGTTTCCTGGGCTAATCAAGGCAGTTGACAAACCCTTCAGCATGCTTGAATGTGGGTTTGTCCAAGTTCTTTGTCTACCCTGTACACCCTTATGAACAGGAACAGATTGGCAGAATTTTTTTTTCCTGCCAGCTGCTGAGATCATCAGCAACAAACATGTAACCAGATGAACAGCTTGTTAGTCTGAAACATAAAATGCAGGCAAACTGAGCTATTTCCTTTTAACGTTTTCACTGAGAATTGCATTTTTCGCTGTTTATTAAATATTTCATGATACTTAAGCTGTGGTTTGATCTGGGCATGGTTAATTAGAATGTTTATTGCAAAACAGGATGGTTCTCAAACGTGACCAGTCTTACAGATCTCGCTACTGTTTCACCGATGTGCTGGGAAAAAAAGAAATCTCCGTGGAAGGACTTTTTTGCATGCCCGCTAACGAACAGTAATAGTGAGGTAATTTGTGAAGATGATGTTAAAGTGGAAGAGGCAGGAAAGAAGATGTTCCCAGATACAGGGAAATATAATGGGCATCTTTGTTTGCTTGACAGTTTTGAGTAAGGCAGTTGTTCTTTTCCACACTTACAGTCAAAGGCCTACCTGCCAGTTACCTTCACTGAAAGAATGAATTGCTTGTAAAGAAAAGCAGGGCATACACCAGATTTGTATGGCTTGCTTCTGTGTAACAAGATAAACCAGCATTCAAATTAGTGAACAGAACAAAAGATATTTATGCTTTTTAGATGAAAATTAATGTCTGTTTACTTAGGCTCATAGCAAAATTGAGATTGGAAAAGACCTCTGAGTCCAACCATTAACCCACCACTGCAAAGTCCACACCTAAACCATGCCCCTCAGTGCCATATCTACATGTTTTTTGAACACTCCCAGGGATGATGACTTCACCACTCCCCTGAGCAGCCTGTTCCAATGCTTCATCACCCTTTCAGTGAAGAAATTTTTCCTAATATCATGTCTAAACCTCCTTGGCACAACTTAAGTCCATTTCCTCTTTTCCTATCGCTTGCTACATGGGAGAAAAGACCAACACACACCTGTGTACACCCTCCTTTCAGGTAGTTGTAGAGAGCAATAAGGTCTCCCTTGTGCCTTCTTTTCTTCAGGCTAAACCCCAACTCCCTCAGTTGCCCCTCATAAGACTTCTGCTACAAAATAGTTACCAGAATTACATGCTAGTTCTTTATCCTGTTCTGCACAAGTATTTGCTGGGTTTATAGTGCCTTACTGAGCTGCTGTACATTATTCACTAAGCAGTTTAATGACAGATATGCTAATAACAAGAAAGGTAATCAAGAGCTTGCATAGTGGCAGCCTATGGGCTCCTACATCAAATATATTTTTTTTGCATTCCCTCTCATTCATGTGACCTGAGCTGCTGCATTTTTCATTACTTGGTGTTCACAAGTCCTGGGGCAAAATGAGAGTACTGAAATGGCTTTTATGGAAATTTTAAGGAAAATTTTCCAAGGAAATAAGTTAGTTTGTGCAATTAAGTTATTTATTTGTCTGCCAGGCTCTTTTTCCCAGATAATTTTTTGACATGTTGACTAATTTCAAATCTATAGGAAACAGAAATTCATTATTCT